CGATGTTTTTCATTGTTCGTTTACCAGTTCAGCGACCTGATGCATGGCTTTAAGCTACGTTTACATCTGAAGATGAATACTTTGTTTATATGTTTTAAGTAGACCAGTAGAGATTTATTTGAATTATATTTTATGTAATCTTCAGAGTGAATTTCGTTTAAAGCCATTGGCTGGGCTTCGATCCGTTGATACGATGCTTGTGTGTATTTCTTTGTAAGTTAAATAGTGATAATGTAAGCTTTACTAAGTTTGGCAAGATATACTTTTTAGTTATTTCTAACGTGACAGATTAGGCCTTGTTTTCCACTGTATCTAGAACTGGCAGATGATCTTTTTGTTTGTGAATCAGCAGTACCTCAGCCGATCTCGACAAAACGCACATACTTTCAGTGACCACATTTTGTAAGTGAGGGATAAACCCTTCATGTTTCAGATGTTTGTGTTTTTCCATTAGATAGCTTGTTATGCTGGACCTCCTCGCGATACTTCCTTTTCTGTAACGATGACCAGAAGGTGCTTGCTTGTTTGGGTATGCTATAACTGTCATTACTGTCTGAGAATCGACGGGTGATCAAATAGCTTTATGCTGTTTGCAATTTCGAGGTTCTTCAGGCAAATAATGCTTCAGGTAATGCTTAAGTGTCATATATGCATTGGCGATTCGATAAGATATAGGTCTGATGTTAAAGTCTTTGTTTTGCTGCAGATGTTTCTGCAAAATAACATTGGCAATCCTCAAGGCAAACAAGGGAGTGATGTTGCTAGAATGGCCAACGGTATTTTGCAGAAACCTTTGAAGTAGAAAAAGACTTTAACATCAAGCTTATATCTTGTATCTATAAGTATCGAATCGCCAATGCATATATTAAACTTAAGCATTGCGCTTTAACACCGGTCTTTTTTTTCGATAATCACAGAAAATGTTTGGCAAAAGGGGAGTGGTTTGCCTTGCGGATTATCAGTGTTGTCCGAAACGTTGATAGTATAATGGACTTTAACATCAGTCGCGTGTGTTATGTCTGTGACAATCGAATCGCTGATAATTACTGAAGAAAAATATGTCGAATTGAAACGAGTTTTCGAAATCTGAATCTGTAATATAGATATGCATTTTAGACTCTGTGTTGTGCCGGTCACCCTGAAACTTTTCAATTCGTCTTTGTCGGCGGATTTCAGTGTTAGCGTTTGCGGTTGCAATCGTGTCGCAGACGATTCGACGTCTTTCAAGGCTAGTCCGTGGTTGTGGTGCGGTCAGACGACGCGCCGGATGATCGTTCGGCGTGGCGAGTGCAACGAGACGAAACTGTTTCTTGCCGTATTCACGCCTTGCGTTTTGGACCTATCGTCGAAACTGAGTATCGCCGTTCACACGATTAGTGATCCACGACAGTCCAGCGTCGCCCTTAGGTCTCATTTTATCACCGTTCGTCCCATGTGAGTTGTGATACTGCTTCGAGTGACTACGTTCGACATTTTGTTTTGTTGTTAATGTTGCGTAATAAACTTTGTTATCGTTTTTTCGTTATCACTGTGGCAGATATGTCAAGCGAAGCTTAATATATTCTCTGATGCTGTTAAGACGACGACTGTTGCGTAGTTGTCTTAGTACTTGAGCTGTCGTATGCTTGCGCGTTATTAATTACCATTTCATTAATTTCCTTGCTGAATTTCCGTGTAATAGTTGGGATGTCAGTCTCGTTTTCACTTTCATGATTGAACGCTATTTGTGGTGCTCATCTTTCATGTAACTTGTGCTGAAAGGCTCATTTGCGTTTCTGTATCATCAGCGGTAAGTGCTTTGTTCTTTTTTGATCATATGTGATGATTAGTATAGCGTGTAGTTTTGTTTATTTCTCACGATAATCATTGTCTGTGTCAGAATGATGAAAGTCGAGTAACCAGACCCGAGGTCGAACTGAGAATCTCGACTGTGAGTCTCATATTCTATTGATTGAGCAGTCTCTGTCATTTTTTGGAATACTTCTTCATGTTGGTGTTAACCTTATTAAGGGGGTCGGTAATCTTGATCGTACGAAAACATTTCTTGTATTAGCTCTTAGATTCATTGGGACACTGTGGGGCGTGGACTTTTTAATTTCACTGTCAGTGTTCAGAAGAACCGCGACCCGAAAGGAGAAGCGGCGATGGAAGATGAAGAAGAAGATGAGGGTGTTCAGAAGAATGAATGTTCAGATTGACATGAATCAGCTCTGCCGACCATTTCGCAGGTCTTATTCGATCACCTGCTTTCCAGCGATTGCTGTACGCCGTTGTTTAGTTTATTGTTATTCCATCGTGGGACTATGTCGTTCTTTTGCTCACTCTGTATCGACCATTTGCGACAATAGTATTCCTAGTTCGAACGTACTAGTCTTGCTGTTGATAGGACTCTGAGGCACACTGTTTGAAATTTTTCACTTGGCCTTCTTCAGTCGATTGCTTTCGGAGTATAGTAGCTATTGATCAAAGTACACCCACATCATTTTTTTATTCCATTTCGCCATTCTGTACTGCTTGGAGTTTTGTGTGCGTCGTTACAGGGTTAGCTTTCACAGGGCCTTCTAAGCTCAGTCATCCGCTGCTTCATAGGATTAGGTTAAGCGTTAAGTATCAGCTTTAATCGTCACTGGATATGTTACCTTCGATATTTAATATCAAAATGTTAGTCTGTTTATCTTGATTAAGGTGAATTTTGATTCGTTAAAGTTTGCCAAATTCGAAGAGGTAAAGCGCGAAAGGTCGAGAGGTGGAACTACCTGCATTTGACGTTGTTTTCAAATTTTTTCTGTCAGATTTCAGAATGGCAAGCCCAACGACTGGAATTCAGCAGCTGTTAGCCGCCGAGAAGAAAGCGGCTGAACAGGTGAACGAGGCACGCAAGCGCAAGGCCAGACGCTTGAAACAGGCGAAGGAGGAGGCACAGCAAGAGATCGACAAATACCGCACCGTAAGTAAAACAGCTACTTTGTTTATTCAGCCATTTCTATGTTGAACACCCGTTATGCGGACGCTTTCGCTTGCTTCTGTTAGATGGCGTTTACATTCCAATTTATGTTTGAGCAATTTGCTTCCACTATGAGACTGCAGCCGAAAGACTCACAAGATGGGATCTCTTCATAACCGCTTGAAAGACGGGTAAAGATGAATTGACTAACCGGTGACTCAGATTATTGAATAACTCGCATTCCTACACTTTTAAAGGCAGTTCACAGAACTTGTTCGTTTGACGGAGGACTAAAACGGCTGAACATATCCGAAGCTGCTGCCTCAGCCACCCAAAAGGAGTGTTGTGTATTTGTTGGGGTCATCACCCTGAGCGGTTCGCATAAGCAGTGCGTTTCTCATATGTTATGTCCGCTTCACGTGCAACTTTCGAACACTTTTGCTATAATGCAGTAGTTACTGAATTGCAGAAAGAAACATTTCTTTCCTAATCCAAATCTGCCTCATCGTTGTGCTGCATATAGCATTTTCACCTTTTGTTCGACGACTGCCGTGTTTTCGCTTTCATACGGGAAGCTCGCGGCTGGAGTAAATGGAGTATGCTCAACAGTTTCTCTAACCTCCTTTACTTAATGTTCACTATTGAGTTCACCTTCACCGCAAGAGAAGAATAGAATAGTGTCA